ACTACGGCATTTGAGTTGGGTCTTACAGCCTCAGTGCAGACCGAGGTCGAACGCTTTACTGCCAAGACTAGCCTATAAAACTAAAGTCGGCTGAAGACGGCAGCCGTGGACGCTAACTATCCACTCCATTTTTGCCCAAGGAACGATACTTGCGTGCTAATCCTTTCATATTATGTAGGATAGACAGATGTCACCCACCCAACACAAATTTCGGCATGATTGGCTCCATTATTGGAAACTGGTCCAGCCTGTGCTCTAATTTTGAACTCTGGAACGGCTATTGCATGTAAATGTCTGAATGGCAGGTCTGAGTGATAGATATTTTCGTTAAAAAGTGCAACGTAACACCTGCACCCGAAAGTTTCGGCAGAAAATGGATGAAAGTTGACGTCTTTATGACAGGATCCATTTTAATGGACAGTCACACTTTTAATTAGCCTTCAGAGTTAATGGCAGTTAATAATAAATCGGTGTGCCAGGCAAAATGTGTTTGTCCCATAAAAGGATGGATAAACTAAATACACCGACGAAAAACTGTAGTTTTATATCAAGCGTCGTGGTAGAAATCGAACTCCCAAAACTTACTTGAAATTTTTGGGGCAAAAGGTGAAAAAGATAAAATTTAAACAAAACAACCAAAACAAAATGTATCGACACCACAGAAGGAAAAAAATAAAACATGAGTTCTGTAGCAGCAGAAGTCCAAAGACCTGCAAAAGGAAATAAAGGGTGTAGGTAGTTGTGTTGTTGTGGATTCTGGGGAAAGCTGAGCTCGCCAAAAGTGAAAGAATCTGAAAAGTTTAAAGAGTTGTCAAACTCTATGGCATCCGTTGGCCCAAAAGTGACTCAAAATTTTTCCCTGAGTGACTTGGGGACCTTAACATTAGCTAGTTCATGGCCTATTCCCCCAAAGTCCTCTTATGAGCGACAAGATCTGTTCACCGCTCAGTCAAGTAAATGACGGCAAGTAGAGTGAAATCGGTAATTGAGGATCTTTCAAAATGACTGTTTCGGGTGGTTGCACAGTCTGGTCCCCCTATTAATTCTGTTTTCCCTTTTAACTTTTGTTTTTCATTAGTGAATCAAATGGTTCGGAGGAGAAACAGAAGGCGTTCTAAACGCCTTATAATGATTGGCGGTATATTTTGCCTCGCGTTTGGATAATTTTGGCACGGCACTGAGTCTGCCAAGTGCGTGGCTGATACTCAGACTGAAATGAACGTGGCAGACACCAAGACCACAAACCGAGCTCCCAGTAAGTCGCAGATTATAACGTCCCACGCAAAGGACGTGCGGAAGAACTGCAGGTTTTTCCGTATGACCAGTATCGCCAACCCCGACAGAATCGATAACAGCTTTAAAAGGCACACAGTCTTAAGGGCTATTCAACCGTATCCCGCCGAATAATTATCGTCAATTCAACTAAATTCCCAAACCTTCTCATCAGCTTGTCCTCTAAATGTTTTCAACAAGGGTGAAATAGCCATCGCTTATTTCAATCCTTCAAACACATCTAGAATGCTAGCCGCCGGTTAAGATTGTGGAAAAAATGCTAAAATACAGCAGGCGTAATTCTATTCCACGTATCCCTGCAATGCCAAACGGTATTACCGAACAGTTGGAAAGGTTAAAAACGATACAAATTCGATCCATATAGCTTCATCTCCGTCGAATCCCTCATCAGAACATCCCAGGATGTCGTTACTCGGCAGCAGTACAGTACTTCGAGATAAAGCATTGCTGCAAACCTCTTTGAGCCTAATTGCATCTCCACCTACGCATTTTTTTGCTGAGCATCGGCTGCGGATCACTAGTTTCCCCTCATCAAAGCGAAAATATTTGATTTTCCAAGCATCGTGCGAGGACTTCTGGGAAAGTCTGCGTCCTTAGTAGAAACCTCTCCATCCACTGACTTCCTTTACTCCAGTAAGTCTACATGTCCGCAGCCGGTAATGGGTCAGTTTGATTGATATTATAAACCTTCCTACTTTCATATGCAGAGATGATTTCGCATAAGTTATTCAATACCATTAGCGGGTTAAATCCATTTTGGCCAACTTCACCTCCTTCTTAAAATCTCTTTACGCTTTTACCTGCCTGAACCATCTCCTCGATGCTTTGGAGGATTCTTGTGGAATAGCCAGATTAGTCTAAGTTTTATGGTTCAAAAGCAGGGGGGGAGCATGGAATCCCATTTTCTTTCTTGAGCAACGCCCAATCCACAACTGATCTTCTCGTATAAAAAATACGGAAGATAATACAGTTTGTTAAGACGACAGATTCGCTATTCGTAGCAGCACTCTTAGACATTATTTTTTGCGAACGATGGTTTGTTGTCTGTATTGCTTTGCTTTTTTGGGGTCTCTTGGTTATCTCAAACTCTTGAAAACCTCTCAGAAACGTTCACATACCTTTACTCAATATTTTTTATTTCAATAATATTTACGGAACTACTACTTAACTAGCCATCCTTACTGAGTGTGGTTATTTTTGCCGAAGATAAGTTCCTTCGAAAGCCGGCATCCTTGCGTGACTAAAAGCTGTTTGCATTACGTTATAGAATAATCAATATTACAACCCCATGTAAGAAATCCTTTGAAATGGAAAACATATTTCCGAATTTTGATTAACCTTTTAGGAGATAGACCAGGAGGCCGAAGTTTAGCTACTGAGGGGGCAATGTACTCTGCATACGAGGCAAGTTATGGGAAGCTCTTGAGAAGATGTCACCGCTGAAACAGTAGTGCTGTTCTCCGTCGCCCTTATATTTTGGGCTCCAAAATATTAGGCGAACAGAATTATTGTTCCAGCGATTGCACCTCCTTCTGTTCAGTTCCACCTAGTATTGGGATGTCTCAACCGACCGATTATGATGGATCTGCGTAATGTTGACGGAATTGATGCGAGCTCATTCGGCCTGACAATGTAGGAGAGGCTGAATCAGTACTCAGATCGAGGTAAGCATGTACTCACGGATTTACATCATGCTGCATTCGCAACCTGGTGTTTATTTCACTTTAAAGCTCTGCATGAAGGGAAAAGATGACAGCGTGCCAAATCAAACGACTTCCACATTGCAATTAGAGGTCAATAGCTTTACAAAAAGTTAAAATCGGACAGTCCTCAGCTTACGTTTGGACTTCTTTCTTGGTCCCTTGCTTCTCCTTGAACTTCCACCATCAGTATCAACACCCGATGAGGTTAAGGAGTCATAGCCGTCGTTCTTACCCTTTTTGGCATTGGTGTTGGTGCCAAATTCGCTTCCACTGTCCCCGACAAAGGCTGACTGGTTCTCGGCTGGCGCG